GAAAGTCCGCCCTTCTTATAGTTATGGTTTGTTTGACCTAAGAGGGTCAAAATCTAGGTCGAGGCTCACCTGTACAAATGAATGGGAATCAGACTCTCTGTTATGGGGGACTCTCTTTCACGTTACACCGGTCATAAGTCCTAAGAATGGACGTCCGGGGTCAGATATGATGAATACAGGTTAGGGTTAGTCGGAGTATTGGGCTAGTAAAACGACGAATGTCACCTGTACAGTGTAATGGGGAGCGGACAATAGTTCCTAATGTCCCTATTTCACACAGACCACGAATCCCACGAATCGCCAGGAATTGACAAATTTCAGGATTATTGAGGATTCGTGAGATTTTGCCAATTTTCTGGTCTAGTTCGACACGCTCTACGATTTAGTTACGATACAGGTGCTATAGTGTTACGAATACTCGTGGGATTCGGCTGGAATCGCACGAATATTGTCCAGAAATTAACTACGATTTTTTGAAATCGGGAGTTCGTGGCCAAAATTTTGAACAGCTCAAAATTTTTGCCACGAATTCCCGATTGATCAAGAAGTGCAAGAACTGACAACGATTATATACGAATCTGTTCAGAACTTCACGAACTGATTACAATTCAACCACGAATCCTGAAATTTGTCAATTCATGGCCATTCGTGGGATTCGTGGTCTGTGTGAAATAGGGGCATAACAAACAGACTACCATTCCTGTCACATCGGGCCCGGGCTAACACTATCTAGGAAAAGTTGTGTATTGAAAGCAAGGAAAATGACATTTGACTATATAAGTGCGAATGCCCAGCAAATAATTTTATCAGTTGTGTTATACATATTCAAAGTTGCAATAGGCCTAATAGTTTTATATATATATTCCAATATCTCGTGGCTTTCTTCCAATAAAATGAGGCTACAGGTGTCACAAAAGTGTTATAGTATTCTCGACCTGAGAAGCTAGGGTGTCTGCACTTCTCAGAAAGTGACCATGGTATTGAAGACATATTTCCGAATAAAGGCGTCCAATTGGTTGATATAATAATTGGAAAGGGTAATGACTATGACAACTATGTTGTTTGAAGAAACTGTTGTTGAAACCTAGGAGCACGAATGTATTTCCATGTAAGGAAGTTCGTAAAATTCCATGGATACACATTGAGACTCCAATAAACTGTTACGAAAACATTATTTATAATTAAGTCTCCTCAAGCCGGTTGTTACAGGTGACCGTTTAAACGGTTTTAAATTATGGTGTGTGAAAATATGAGAAAATGTGGTTAGTCACTGCAGGTAGCAGCAATTGTCATTAGCACATAGGCTGTGAAACTTCCGATTTTCTGAATCGCTGTGACGTCTGGCTGATATGAATTACCAATGAAACGCAAACCACCTGGGGTATCTACTGGTGACGCAAATTATCGAATCATAAAAACGTTTTACTAAAGAAAAACACGCGCTAGTTGAAACATGGCTTCAACAGATATGTCTCTGTACGTGATTCCTCTGTTGTTCGTGTGTGTAACCTTGGGTGGGACCAGTCACGCTCATTGCTTATTTAAAGGCTTTTTAAAAAGAAGGTACCTCAAAGGATATTTTCTTCCGTTCAACTTGGTTTTAGCAGGCCTTCTACCATGCACCATGCTAGCGGTAATGGAGGGCGCAGACGCAATCCTATCACGGTTCCTAGGTATATGTTTACCGACGTGGTGGTTCATCAAGTTGTTCTTAGAAGTGACAAGCAGAACGACTATGCTCATCACAACGGCGCTGATCGCCGTTCATTCCGCCTTATTCGTCAAAAGCAGGACAAACAAAGACAAGGAGCGGCTTCAAAGTTTCAGCACGTTTGGTTCATGTGGGGGATGGTTGAGTGGCATATGTATGGGCACGTATTGGACGGTGATGGCGTCTTTACATGGAGAGAGCCCCAAAGATGATTATCATGGCGACCAGTGCTCAATCACAATGTACCGTCTCATTTACATTTCCCAGCCCAACATAACGTGCGTCTTCACGGTACTATTCGTATTAGTGGTTCTAATAACGATCGCATCTTATTGTGCTATCATTCACTACATTAAGAAAAGGCGGTTAACTGATAAACCTACCCTTAACCCTGTTTGGGTGACGCATCAAAGCTCAGAAATGGACGTCTCAAAAAATCCTCGAAGAAAACTGAGATCACAGTTTAGCAGGAGTAAACACACTTTGGGAGCCATCGGCCTCCACACGAATGCCTCAAAAATGTCCCCAACGGACGCATCTGGCATACCCACCAGAAAACGGGGTCTTCAGTGCCTAACACGCAACAAGATAATGCCTTTTCCACTGCATTATGGATCACATGTAAACAGTGGCAACTATGAATGTTTTGGCGATGGTACTAGTGCATTTAAATCCAGCACCATCAGCGAAAAATCCGTAATGATTAGGAGATCTCAATCAACCATCAAATTGGATTCTCTGGGAAAAGACGACGTGACACCCATTCAGCTTATAAATACATCGGTTACGTCGCCCAAAGAGGTCACAGCATTTGGTTCCTATATTACCAAAACGACAGAAGTACTAGTCACCAACCATCGATATCACGAAGAGGCCTCCAGCATGAGTTCTACTGGTTTGCACGCCATCAGCAAAAGCTTGACAGTCAACCAAAGGCCGTCTTTTCGACAGCTACACGATTTACGCGGAAGGTCCACGCAAAATTTGCAAGCGGAAACGGCAAAGGCATCTATAAGAAGTCAACCCTTATTAGAGACTTCGACAAACGCTCCGATATTCGTCTCATTTCCTTCTGTTCGTCAACACACGGAAAATGCCCCAAGAAGCACCCCCTCCTCTTTTCTTTTTCCAAGAGAGCCTGAAGTAATATCAAGAAGCACCCCTCCCTCTTTTCTTTTTCCAAGAGAACCTGAATTAATATCAAGAAGTTCTTCCTCCTCTTTTCTGTTTCCAAGAGAGCCTGAAGCTATCTCAAGGAGTGCTCCCCCCTCCTTTCTGTTTCAAAGAGAGTCCGAAGTAATATCAAAAAGCAGCCCCTCCACTTTTCTTTTTCCAAGAGAGCTTGAAGTAATCCCAAGAAGTACTCCCTCCTCTTTTCTGTTACCAAAACAACCTCAAATTATATCAAGAAATACTTCCGCCTCTTTGCTGTGTCCAATAGAGCCTGAAGTAATCTCAAGGAGTACTTCCTCCTCTGTTTTGTTTACAAGAAAGGCTGAAGTAGTCCCAAGATGTACTTCTTCTCAAGTAATCCCAAGAGAACCTGAAACAGTGATCACCGGTAGCTGTATACCAGATGATAAGGTTAGGTTAGGCGTCAGCAGACGTTTACCTCCTTTGTTATTACAGAGAAACACGGGTTTCAACTTGCGTCGACAACGTAGGCTTAATCGAACACAATCGCTCAGTCACATGGCGCCGTCGCCGCCAAAGCCCCATTTGTTCGATGACCAAACAGCAGAAAACAGCAGAAAGTCATCGAGAAAGATGTCCTTGGATGCGACTGAAACAATGCAAGAAAACACGTGTACTGAAATCAGTAAGCATGAATCTGTTAGCACGAGTCGTACTCCTGCGTGCAATAACGTGCCACCCAGGCAAATTAGAAGAGCACCTCACGTAAGTGCTGTGATAAAAGCTTGCTTATATAGTTCAACAATTGTTGTTTCCTTTCTACCGTTGTGTCTCGTGATGATTCTTGCACCTGAAATATCTGAAAATGCATTTTGTACACTTTACCCACTAGTGCAAAGTTGGTCATACCTCGGGTTTACCATGAACACCTACCTTTACATTCTGAGTAACAAGTCCATTACTAATATCTTTTTAAAATCCCGATTAACCGTATTCGGTGCGCTCGGTATGTAAAGATAGTCAATCTTGTATTCAGGTCTTAGGCGAATTAAATAGTTTAGTCCAGCTTCTCTTCGAATTTCAGGAAAGCACATATGTAGTTTTCTGTGACTTAAATTATTCTATCCAATTTGCGCGTTAATTTAAGTTGTTTGAACACAAAAGTTCAGGCGCAATGAGTATAACTGGCCTATATTTTAAGTTAATTTTTGTGGAGTGAATAAAACTTTTAAAAAAACTGTGTGTCAGCTTGAGATGTTTAGTCACCGGCGCAATTTACCCTGACAAAATATTTGTAGATTCAGCCATGAGTTTAAAATTTTCTCCGGCGTACTAGTCCTGGTAGCCTGTTGACTGAGAACTTAAGGCACAGACTGATAGATTAATCATCTTTGACAGTTACGTTTGTTTTCAGTTAGTTTTTCTTACATGACATTATTTTTTGTTTCTGTTAATAGTCATTACTTCACATAATCGTACTTTATTAATGCAATTGTAGTTGTCTAGAGTTTGATAATTATGGTTTATATCAATAAAGTTCATTAAATTGTTATCATGTAATTCTGTTATACCTCGTGTCGAGTATCTTGGCGACTCTCTTCGAGTTTCCTGACGTAAATTTTCACAAACAAAAATTCTGTTCATCAAGGTTTCCAATATTATCAATCACATATATTGAAAATTAAACGGCCTTTCAAAAACAATAAGCATTCAACCCACGAACAGATTGAATGCAACTTCTGACAACAGGGCCTTAATAGGCTTCCTCACCTCTTACACCATCAATCACGAACAGTGCATGAAATACAGGAACTTTCCTCCATCTATGGAAAATTTATGTACAGATTCTCAAACTTTAAGGAACAAGGTTTCCATATCTATCAACTGGCGCATTAAAAAGCGGGTGTGGGAGCCACAATGTTGAAGAGGGATTCAATACACTGAACAGAACGTTTTCATACGTAGTTTCACGGTGTCTACAAATCGAAAATCACAAGGGCGCCCAGTATGGACATTTGACGCAGTGTGTGCACTTTTTTCAAAAATGTTAATTCAACACTTTTTTTTTCTTAACATTTCATGCAAAAAGTACTAAGGGAAATCGAGGGCAAAACGCAAACCATAATACTTTGTGTTGGACCCTATAAAGAATACATCATTTCAGTACATCGTTTATTTTTGACAAAATTATAACTCTCATTACAATGATACTACATAATTACAACATTTTACAGTTATTTTTTTAATCGTGCTGTACTTTTATCATAACCTCCCACCTCAACTTCGACTGTCATCTATATATAATGTACAAAACGAAAACAAAAACCACTTACACAGGGCTTCATTTTCTCTACAAACAAATAAAAGAAATAAAATCCTTCAGTTCTGAGCCATTCTTACATTTAAAGCTCTGTTATTGCTCAAATCTTGAATTAGCATACTATTGAGAATGTCATATACACATTTTTCGTGAAGATAGTTGTTAAACACCAGATTCGGCGCTCGACATAAAAAAGTACTAATGCCCCCAAAATAAAATAGTGTAATCTGTTCAGTCACCTCTTGCCACCAAATTGGACATTGTTGTCAAAAGAATAGGTGCAAATTGTATATTTTCAAAGAGTTCCAAGATTTGTGCCGCAGATAGATCACGACCTTAGTCATCCCCAGCAGGAGATTTTTCACCATTTTCTTGAGGGGGTGGCGACTTTGATTTACTCCTGGATGCCGACTTAGCGTGGCTGGCACTGCGGGAACGGCTACGAGGGGATCTGGACCTGCTGCGGCTTTTGCTTCGGCTCTTACTGCGTGGGGATCTCGACCTGGAGCGGGACCTGGATCTGGACTTGGAACGGCTTCTGCTTCGACTGTGTGAGCGTGACCTCGACCTACTGTTAGAATGACTGGAATTAATCAAGGTTTCTAAAAAGTTAATACAACTGTTTAAATAAAAGATGTGCATCGTTCCAAAGACTACCTTAAATATCCTTCCATCAAACTCATGGGGGCAAATTAGTTCCAAAATATAATTTAAAACATTAACAGGGTTGTTGTTGCATTCAACTTTACACCAAAGTGGGTAAATATACAAACTTAACAGAAACAAAGCAACAAAACTAAAATGTAAAAACATATTTAGCTAATAACTTGGCATGTCGACTTTCTTTTAGTCTTACAAGAAACTACTGTCAAACTAGTATGGTGGTTTATATAATATATGCATTACTAGGAATCCACACTTGCTTTTTATGTAATTTTAATGCAATTGTTACCTTCTCCTCCTACTACTCCTAGACTTATCTTCTACAAGCTTTATGCGCCTGCCATTCAAATCTGTGTCATCAAGTTTGTCAAGAGCATTCTTCAAGTCTGAATAGGTAGCAAACTCCACAACCCTGAAAGAATAATTTTTCATAGCAAAAATAAGCAACAAAAGGTGGCATTTCTTTAATTATAATATTTATCCAATTTTACATGTATTTTTGATACATATAAAATTTATGGCGAGAGTTCCAAGAATCAATCATCCTAGTTTAAGTTACCATAATGCCTTGCATGATTGTAAACTTGATACTAAATCTATGATAGCAAAATGAGAAAGGTTTTCCTTCAAAATTCAGCAATGTTAAGTTGGTAATTTATTCCATGAAAGAGAGAGAGAGCCCTTTGGAACTGCGTATTTATAACAATTTTTCAGAAATGTTTTACAAACCAGCATTTTTTTAAATTTTAAGTTCCTTTTGGAGTTTTTTTTTAAGTTTTTGTAAACATTTAATATCTTAGCATTCCATTTTATTACAAATACAATATTTAAACATTGTGTAACTAACCTTGGGGTTGAGATTTAAATGAATTAATTATTATATTAAACATGTAGTAACTTGAACACCACAAGATTTAAAACCAACATACCCTTCATTTTTCCTCTGCTTATGCGCATCTGCATAAGTAACTTCTCCAGCCTGTCTCATGTAGTCTTTAAGGTCCTTAAAGTAGAAGATCCCACGGTAAGAAATTTTAAATATACTTAATAATCAACTAGAATAGCAAACAGAGCAAAATATTTTAAGTGACACCTACACATCACTGTCATCTTCCATCGGAGCACCTTGCAGATAATACACCCCACCCATTTATTTAAAAATTACAGTGACTTCCAGTCAAAAGTTATCACAGCTCCTTGCTGACCAACGTATTCATTCAACATAGGATAAGATTTTTAAATTTTGCTCAAAATTATCATTGACTTTACCTCTCCTTTTGAACTGAAACTTTTGGCATCATGGCCCAAGAAAAGTGCCCCATATGGTTTGGAAAGGTTTAGTGGTATGAGTGCACCCAGTGAGCAAGACCTGACAGAGGATGGTCCACCTTTTCACAATCCCTCTTTCTCGTCTACTGGATGCTCATCTACACTTTCTTTCAAAGAGCCTCCTTTTTGCTAGAGATGCCAGCCCAAAATAGGAAGAGATCACATCATCACTGGGACCTTCGGTTTTAATTTGTTTGACCTCAATCACATTGAAGATTGTGATGCCCTGAACCTAGCAGACTCAACTTTCCAATGACGAAAGTTGAGCCGGACAGGCAAGTGCTTTATTTTCTCAGCAGCCTTACAGCCAGCCTTAGAGCTTGGATACAAGGAGAGCTCCTCCAGGAGGAAGTGTGAACCCTTAGAGCTTTCTTTTTTTCACACATGCCCGTCAGCCAGTGAGCGGATGGGGACCCAGTATGGAGTAGAATAGCACCTCAGCTGAATAAACTGACCACAAACAGTGGGTGGAAGGGTGGTGGATTGATAGACCCATATTGAGATAACTTCTGCCAGACACCTCATCAAGCCTCACCTGATTCGCAAGTCCAGCTTAAGGAAATGAAGATAACATACGTTTAACAATGTAACAACAAGGCAGCACCAGTCAGGTATCATGAGAGAAAGAGCCAAGCGCGAAGAATAACTAAGCTAAAATATGCATGCGTGAAAAATCTTTACCCCCTCTACAATTTGCATAGCTTTATGCCTTGGCCAAGCAAGTGAAACCCAAATAATATTTAATCATTTTGCTCCCCCCCCCCTTTATTTGACCATAACACCGAATTTTAATTGACTTAATGTTAGCAAAGCAGAAGCAATATTATGCAGATGAAGAAATTTCTGAATTAGTCAACAGACAAGAGATCTGTATTTTTAATAGAAATTCTTCACCCACTGTTGAAAAGATTACAGACTAGTTTTAGTGCTTCCTTAGCAGAGGTTTCAACATACAGAAAGTCCAAAATCAAAAACATCACTTTTGACAGACATGCAAGACTGTGCTCTTGCTTTAACAGTTCTACCCCATTTTTTCCCCCAAAAATGTCATGTCAAATTTTCTCTTAAAAAGGAAGCTGCAAAACAGACTGTCTGATACTAACTGGTGCTGATGAAATACAGTATATTACAAAACAGAAACTTGGTTTACCTGCCAGCTGACCCTCGAGGACAGGTTTTCCACCACCAACCTGTACTCGGTTCTTGTTGGAGGTCCATACCTGATAAAGCAGATGTGAAAACAACATGTTATGCTTTAAATACAAACTAAAAACATACCTCAACCTTCCATTGAGACATGTACAAAATTAACCCCTTTAAATTTCTGATGTTCAGTTAAGTTGGGATAAGTCTTCCTCACTATCATTCAGACCCGAAAGATTAGCTCATCATTACACCAGATACTTTCTTATCTGCATTTTCTCATCCTTGCAACAATAAATATTTTGTACTTTTCCAATTTAATAATTACATCAGTAAATGACATTGTAAATGCCCTTTCTCCTACAGTTCTCATTCATTTAGTCACATTTTTAACATGACCTCTATTAATATTGCTAAAGCAGTGTTTTTTGTTTTTTTAGAAAACTTCCAAAATGATTTTGCACTAACTACACAATTTGGTGGTGGAGAGCACGTGTTTAACAGTTGAAAATATGTCTGTCATGAACAGGAACAATCATAACAACACATGGTCACAAAGCCCAAAATGAATCACTGCTGTCATTAAATATCATGTAGATTTTCCAGGCCAGGATAATTTTTGGAAAAAAAAATTCCCCCTTTTCAAATTCGATTTCTGTGAAAGGCATATTTTTGTAGTAAAACTCACCTGTTAGACTGGTTCCGGGAGTTACCATGCGAAGAACTGAAAGCAAAAATTTGCATGATATACTCCCGATTTCTTATGTAAAAATTTAATAAAACGCCAATTTATGGCTTAAAACTTTGCATGTGAGAAAGAAAAAAATTCCAAAATTGGGCTTCTGATCAAAGCTGGAAATGCCTTAATGAGGTGTTTTTTGCCTTCCCCATTCTCCTGGCCTGGATACTACAATGGAAGATTCATTTGGGCATGCAAACAATGTCTTGTCAGGTCACATTCCTGTCATCAATGACCCAGCTTGATGCTGACACCATGCATTCTACTTTGGCTTACTTGTCACGGCCTCCACTTCCTCTACTGCGACGTGAAGGCATTTGATAGCCACGGTCTCGAGAACGCCTCAAATCCTCACCTCTTGGGACGCCTCTAGCATGCTCAAGCATCACTCTGGAATTCAACAACAAAGATCTAGCATGAACAATTCATCCAAGATAACCAAAACCCTTACTTGTCAATCCAACTGGGTCTCCTTGATCGATATCCTCCATCTCGTCCACCCCCACCTCCACTGCCACCCCCACGGCGCATTGGCCCGCGTGCATGCTCAACAATTACCCTAGAAAAAAACAAACTGCATAACAACACCCCATTTCACATACCAGGTGCTAGGTAGCTGACAGTTTACTTACATCTGTTGACAAAAGGCACCATTTTCCAACCTCATCTGTTTACAGGACTTATTTCTATTCAGATTTTTTTCTAGGTCTGTTTAACATTGATACTGTTTTATCTTTAACAAAGAGTCCACAAAGTGTCTTGCTCCTTGCAAATTTCTTAACTGCATTCTCCCTCAAATCAGATACTTGACATAAATGATAATGCAACATCCAGGTTTGGGCAGAAAAGGAGAAAAACCCTGAAGTCTCCATCTTCCACAGCACACATCCAAACCTTTTCTTAGTAGGCATTACATTCTGAAAATCTGTAATAAAGCTCAAACATGTTTCAATCTAACTTACTGTAGTACTTATTATAACAATAATCACTTAAATTACCAGCTGTAAGAAATAATATCCAACTCAACATGACAAAAACTTCTGCTTGTTGCTAGTTACCTTTCACCACACAAATCTTTTCCGTTGAGTTCATAAACTGCATCATCAGCATCTCTGTAATCGTCGAATTCCTAAAAAAAAAAAAATTTAAAAAAAACTGACAATATAGGTACCATCTCAAAATTTACATTAACTTTAGAACAACTCATTTCTCTCAAAAACTCATTTCTCTAAAAATACAAAAAATTAGCAAGACATTCTACTGAATATATAAGGGTAGAAACTGACAATATAGGTACCATCTCAAAATTTACATTAACTTTAGAACAACTCATTTCTCTAAAAATACAAAAAATCAGCAAGACATTCTACTGAATATATAAGGGTAGGCCGAGTTATGTGATTGGATGTTATAAATAGAAAAATACTAACCACAAATCCATAACCATTTTTCAGCATTACATCTCGTATTCTTCCATATCCTTTAAAAAACCTCTCCACATCTCTTTCTCTAGCATTGTAAGATAGACGTCCTATGTACACTCTGGTGCCCATTTTTCTAAAATGACAAAACTAAAATATACAACATTTATTTAAGAAGGGTACTACCCTACACATTGTCTCTTTATCTCAACATTCTTAAGAATAAATAGCCTTTCTAAATCTCAACCTAATGTCATATCTGGTGCTCAGTTAAGTTGGGATTGGTCTTCCTCAGAAATATTTCAGACCCGAAAGATTAGCTCATCATAACACCAGACAATTGATTTTAAATAGTAATCCCCACCTTTTCTTTTTTCATGATTTAAAAAGAACCATTTCTCTTTTTGTTGACTAACAATATAGGTTTTAACGGGGGCGTCTCGATAGTCCGAAGGTTCATTGGTCCGAAAAGTGGTACCATTTTCATCGATTTTTTAATCAAAGGTTCATTGGTCCGAAGGTTCTATAGTGAACATTCGGACCAATGAACCTTCGGACTATTGAACCTTCGGACTATCGCTACGGCCCCGGTTTTAACATTCAAAAATAGATGATTTGGAATCATTTAATTAAGTTTAGCGCATGAATCTTATTGAAAACCGAACTTCTCTAAAAACACGTAGACGAAATTAAGAACCAGCCATGACTTATCTAAAAATAAGACTGCATACGCATTTACAAAGACGAACATGATAAAATAACCTCAACATCTTTTTCACATTTATCGTTCAGAGAGCGTGGTTTTCGCATCCGCCAAAATTTCGTCCAAACTAAGCGGCTTTAAAGCATTGTTTTCTTCCTGTGCAACAAATAATGTGTCCCGTATTCATAAAAATCTGGAACTTTAAGCTCTGATGAAACAACATGGTAGATGTTATCATTCTGGTAGTTGCTTCACAGAATATAATATTTCGAAAGAAAGTTTACCTGTATCACTGTCTCACTCAAACCTCTCACAAAAATGGCTCCTGCTACGGGGTTGGGTTCGCATCACGTGAGGAAAGGGGTTCCCAAGCTGAGACAGGACTGTTACGCAGCAGGTTTTCGCTTTCCTTGCATCTTTGCACATAAAATTTGTATCTTATTTATTCCGAAAACCTTTAGAAAACGGTCTTTCATAGTTCATATCAACGCCTTCTTATGGTTTTCATTTTTTTCAGAAATAAAACCTTTCAACGTCCTTTGAGCTGCCATCTGGTGACAATCTTGACAGCCATGTGACTGTAGCACAAGGCGATTTCAGTGTGCTTGTTGAGATGAAGCACATACCCAAATTGCGGCACGATTGCTTTTAAGAAGAACGATTGGTCATGTCACGCGTTCTTTTGGCACCCTTTTCAAGATTAACAGCACATCTTATTTGGAAATATATATTAAATACTCTTCAAAGTGCTAAATATTACCGTTAGTATCAATCCTTTTCACAACAAGGAGATAGAACGGGTGATAGAAACAGGAGAGTATGTTTATCTTGGGCAAAGATTCAGCTTCAATTAACAAAACACTGGAGAGTCTAAATTTAGACTAAAAAAATAAATGCAGGATGAGAGGCATTCACACAAGACCATGTTCAAGACTACCCTCCCTACTAGCACAAAATCCATGCGTAAGCACTCCTATTGTCGATTTTGATATGAACGCTGCCATATCGTCAATAGGCAGAATAGGAGTGCAAACGTACGGATTTCGTGCTACTTTCCTCCTGCATGAAAAGTGTTCAATACATTGCCAGCTATCACCTATGGTTCTGAGACATGGGCAATGAATGCATCCATAGAACAAACGATACAAGCAGCACAGAGAAAGACGGAAAGAAGTATGTTGACATCAGGCTAAGAGATGGGAAGATCATGAAGATAAAATGGATAAGAGAACAGATCAAAGTGAAGTATGTGCTACTTAGGACTGGGTTCCCATACTTAGATCGATCCACCTGGATCGACCTAACTCCCTGGGGGTTCACGCTAAATTGCTATCAGCTCAAGAGGCTTAAATGTCTGTCACGCCTACCGAATCAGCTAGGGTAAAGATAATCACCCCCTAACTGCTTTACTAGGCATGACAGACATTTAAGCCAGCCAAGTTGACAACAATTTAGTGAGACTCCCATGGGAGATAGATCGATCTATTTTGGGAATGGTCTCTATAATTAAAGAAATTAAATGGAAATGGACAGGGCATCTCAATATAGAATCAAGCATGACAGAAAGGCAACAATGTTGACAAGATGTGGACATAATAAACCTGGGAAGCCTTGTAAGAGATGAAGAGATGGAGGGATGAGTTAAATGAGTGCTGGAAGAACACAATTGGAAGCCTGAAGCCCCAGACAGAATACACTAGAAGCATACTTAGGTCATTGTCCAACAGTGGAACAAGTTAGGCTCTGAACGAATAACATTAAAATGGTAGTGCTAGCAGATTTTTGCATTAATATAATGCATGTATGGATGCCCATGATGGCCTTCAAACTCTGCAGTATTATTTGAAAATTTTTCATTTTTTCATTTTTGACAACACTTTTATTAAGTTAATTAGCACTGAGTACACCAAACATATTGCACTTGAAATACATCTTATCTAACTGACCACATTGGTTACATTAAATCACTCCCAGTTCCAATCGTTCTATCTTGATTTCGACTTCTGGCATAAGAACTGGTAGCATGGGTAATATCATTGATGAAAAGATCACTTTCACACCATTTTGTATTGATCCAAGTATTTGTTTATATATTTCCATGCTTATCTTAGAGCACCAGCTTCATTTACCTCCAGGCTGTTCTTTTAAAGCAAAGTTACAAGTTACTTGACCTCTTCCACAAGTTACTGAACCACAGTTTTAACCTTGTACAACTCTGAAATATTCACGTCTCCTGTGCTATGTACCATAGTTTCCAATGATTTGATGAAATACACTAATCTAAGCTGAGTCTTACACTGAGTATTTACAAACAATTAAATATTATGTAAGTATTTTGTGCCATAATAGTTTGGGTTTATAGAGAAAAACAACATATGATCTCCAAAGCAAAAAATCACAGAACACTTAAAATTCACATAAACATTACATACATTTTACAATGAACACATTTGTGTAGGTATATAAAAGCAGTTTTTGCAACTGTAAAAAGCTCAATTATGTACAAAAAGGTCCTAATTAAATCTGGTACTACCATCACAATATCATAATGCTACAGCTATGCACATGAGCCCTGTCATAAATACTACTTGATATCAAATACAAATACTTTAAACAGCAAATCAACAAAGAACAGGCTGGTTGATATATAGTTTTTAAAAGTACTGTTATCATACAATGTCAATAAAAAATCAAATGTCCATCAAGGAGCCAATAAAAATTTGGCAGATAAAATGTCGGATGATCTAAAGTGTGTATATAAAACATAAGCCTACAGCTCTTAAATTTATTATAAAAGTGACAACATCAGCTAGAATCCTGAAATGAGTAAGAGAACACAAAATACAGAGAATATGACTCTGGCATCAAATACTGGATTTGATACATATGGGCTACTATTTCATTGGAAACATTTTCCCAACTACTACTGGTTTATATTTAATCTACAATGGAATTTGCTTGAAAAACTTAATAGCCTGTATCATAAAGACAATTGGAATATCAAAACAAGCTTTATTTTCTGCAAGTTTAGATCAGTGGAGTTAAAAACTGGCAATTATTCAGTACATTTGGATGTTTGGCACTAAAGTTGCAGTCCACCACTTATTTTAATCAGTTTTAATATCTCCACAGTTCCAATGGCCATGACAAGTTTTACATGATATGATACAAAAGGCAGACATGTATTACACTAAGAACTACAGATAAGTAAAAGCCATGATATCATTTTGAGGTCTGCCACACAGGTCCTTTGTAATCTTGGAGTTGTTCTCACTGCCAGCATCTTGGATCTTGATCTGTCCATTTCTAGGTTGGACATAGGACTAAAAAGATACATTAATTTCTGAGTCAAAGAGTCACTTAAAATCAATTTTACAATCGCTGCAGTTGTAACAAAAACTGGTCTTTGCAGTTAGACCAGAATAAATTTTTACAACAAAGAGTACTTTAACTCTCAAAAGGTATCATATACCAAATTAAAGTGTAAAAAAAAAAGAAAAAATCTCATGTTAAATGCTTTTGAAACAGAGTTTAGAAATGCTTTTCGATTGTACACTTTTGAGGCCACTTTTTTTCTTAGTGGCGTATACCAAGTTTTAGTTAGCATTAATTTCTAATACATAAACATTGAGTAAAATACAATTTTTAAGCAAGGGTAATAATTTAATTTGTCTTTAAGCATGCAACATGCCCTTTACATTCTTAGGTTTATGTCATTTACCTTTAAGTATGTAATCTGTCAGTAGGCCTGGAACTGCAGGACCATCTTCTAAGATAGCTTGTAGTACTGAAATTACACACGTGGCATTTTAAAATGGGTTTTATAAGTAAGGCTTCGTTCACATGGAAAGTCTATTTTCTAAAAATCTATTTTCTATTAGCGGTATATCTTGTGATCACGGTCTGTGCCCTGAATATCCCGCAGCGTAATTACTATCAGCGCAAGCCAGTTACTATAAGTTACTGTAAGTAACTGGCTCGCGCTGCCAGTAATTATGCCGCAGGATATTCAGGGCACAGACCATGATCATAAGATACCGCGAATAGAAAATAGATTTTTAGAAAATAGACTTTCCATCTGAACGAAGCCCAAGTCTACTTTTAGTGGTTCTCTGGAGTGCATTTGAAACTACACAATCTAATTTGCCAGCACTAAAGCAATTATCACACGTTTTGGTAGAATATAAAATTTTCCTTACTTGACAGAGGTAAATTTAGGGTATATAATTATAGCTTCAAATTAGATAATAACCAAATAAAGAGTCCATTTACATTTTATGTAGATTTGGAGTTGTTCATTGGTGGGTGTTCCCATTCCTGCATGGTAAGGGACAATGGTCGTCAAGTACTGAAACACATGGTGATTTAAAATAATTAATTACTCATATATATACATGGAAATGAGTCCTTTTGCCTGCATGTATCCAGGTCAAGTAATATGTGCAAGTGAAAACCAAATGGGTGGTTTTATTGGCAACACTAAAGCAAGAGAAAACATGGAGAAACAGGTCCTGAACAGGTAATATCTGAGATAACCCAAAGTCTTGCAACTTGGCACATAATCAAGCAAGATTTGACTGAATTTGGTGGAGATTAATGTCAGAAATAATGGCAGACTAATGAGTGCAGTGCAGCAATGAAGAAAAGCTTACAGAATTTATCTGCAAAAAATTTTCTGATTCTCTTCTCTTATTTTTTGTCCATTAACAGTCTATTGAACAACAGCACACACATTTTGTATGTCACTTTTGTACTACTTTTTAAGATGACATTCTCACTGCATGGAGTTTCACATTATCATTGAAAAGTTAATTCCACCTCGTGCAGATTCTTTCACTTTTTTTTTTGTCTTCTATAGTGCAAGACTTGTTTTACCTCAAATGATTTCCGTTAAATAAAAAACGAAACATAGTATAATCATTTATTCAAAAAGTAAGTTCCATCAAATTAAAATTAAAGTATAAATATTGCACCATTTTTTCCTTTCTTTCTTTTTCTGTTGTTTGTATTTGTTGTTTGATGTCAAATTTCTCTTGTGATAAGCATGGATATAAATTTAAACAGCCGTTCCCTCATTACATTTTAAAAAATAGTTTTCATTTCTCATTTCAATCATGATGAAACACATTTTTAGATGTGACATCTGATTTAAGCTGCAATTAGGTACTTCTCTGAAATATAGGTGCAATCTTATATAATCAACATCAAAATAATAACGCAGTGCAAGCAAAAGAAAAAAGGGCTAAAGCGTCGACAGATCACGGTTGCTTACCGCGCCTGGTTCGGCCTCATTATTTCCCTTCACCTTTTTCATACTGTTGGCATTTTTCTTTTTTTCTGTCTGGGAGTCTTTCTTCTTTCTCTGAACATTCAAGACCAGTGAAATGAAGGTGTTTTTCAGCTCCTTTTCATATTCAAGCTCATCTCTTAGTGCAAGCTCATTTATCAGAGTTTCGGAGTAAGTTTTGACTGCACACTCTAGTTCTTCATACAGCTCGTTCAAAGCACCAAGGGATAAATTCTTCAATCCTGTAAGAAACAAAATGTGTAGCACACACATAAATTATGCTTTACATGGAATATCATTCCTGAATGCCAGATGGATATTGTTAATTTTTTAAAGAAAAATGTAAGGTTTCTAAAATTGATGAGGCTTAAAGAAAGAAATCCAAACACTACAAGTAAAATACTAGTTACTGATAACATTAACATTCCTGTGGTAGGTGATGAAAAAGTAAAACAATAAAAATATCACTCTTCAGTATATCCATTATAGAAATAAAATTGGAAAACCATTTCATAAACCTGACAATCAACATATCAGATACTTTCAAATCACATACATATACAAACCTTTGCTTATATAAACAGCACCAAGTACCATCATAACTAAAATAACCATCACCTATTAAATACTATCTATAACATACTAAACAAAATTATGTCTAAAGCTCATTCACATTTCAAAAACATGGACAGGTTTAAATATCAGAACCTTAATGATACCTGAAACATTGCCTTTAACAGTCAACTTATCTATAATGTGATGATCAGGTTGGCAAACTATACCAACATTAGTCTATTTCCTTTTTCTTTAACATTAATCTTCAATGTCTTCTTCCAAACAGAGCATAAGCCAGCCACCAAAGTGTTCCCTTACACCACTCAACACACAAAATTAATAGAAAAACTTTTTCTTCACATAAAAAAAGACACAAAGATCTTTTTCTACTCTGGAAGCAATATTTGTAAATCCAATCCACTCTCAAGTCAAAGTTAAAAGCTTTCACCATCAATTTTCAATGCATTACTCAGCATTCTACATTTTCACCAGACTAGTCACCCACCCAACACCTCAAGTCATTACTATGTCATGGTCTCTGTGAGTTTATTTCACATAAAACTAACTCTGGAGTTCTACAGTTCTGAAAAATGACTCGTTATAAAGTTTTCAAAAAATAGTTTTCTTTTCAAATGTCTTCCTCATATTTTCAAAACTGGGATATTTTAAGTATACTAGATAACACTACTATGAAACAAACTGAGACCATGAAATAGCCATTAATATTTCACAAGTTTTGCACCTTCATTCTGAACACTAGGAGGTGGCGCTGTCTCACTAGGAACTGGAAAGCAAAGCAAGCACACTATATTAGAACAGTTGGGGTTTATTTATAGACAACTGAGCATTTTGGACAAGTCCCAGCTAAACTAAATTTCCTGCAGAAAATACAAAACACTTTATCATACAAAAATCAATCAATATTACAAATTGAATTAAAGTTAACTCAAGTCACCTCTCAGTTGATTTATTTGACTGATATATCATATGAATGCTAGTTCTATCTTGAGAGCCATGGGGTAATATTTCAATCAATGAAAGGTTGGAAACAACTAGGATAGAGCTGAAAGTAACATTGGTATGGCAAGGTCCTATTATTCAAATGTTATGGCAAAGAACTTGTGTGTGGATGTGGCAAACACTTTTTTCTGCAATATTGGGGTTCAGACAGACACTAATAGGCTGAAAAGAGAAAAGTCATGCACATGACTGAGTCTAAAGAGATAATATTCAGGTTGTAAGAGACATAATTGCAGATATTGCAATATAAAGTGCATATTGAACCAGACAAAGTGTACTTCATATTTGCACTTATATAAATTTGCAAAACAATTTACAAGTTTGTTTCTTCTCCAACCTATACTTAACTAGACAGTGTGATTCACTAAAGGCACACCCAGAACCAAACAGTTTGAAATGATGCCAAAAGATCACACTGCTTCAAAGCGTTCTGGTGAAATCAGTTCTACTATTTTCAGTTAATAAGATTCAGAATGCACCTCAAAATATACTGTATATGATAAAAGCAAAACCATAAACAATTCTTTTAACATTCTAGATTAATTTTCCAGAATATGGCTAGTCTTTAAAAATAGTTTGAATGTTTCACTTTAATACCCAGTAGACTGCATGATCCATTTAACACAAAACCCACAACATTTACATATAGCATTTCACAGCAAAAAAAAAAAAAAAAAAAAGGAGAAGTAATAATGTGTAAGGTATACATTTACCTGGATGCTCTGCAGCAGAAAAAGAAAATAGAGAAAAAAAAAAAAAAAAACAATGGTAGTATATGTAAATATATATAGATATTACTTCACACATACTGCATATGAGGAAAGAAAATTTTCATCAGCATTTTTATTTTTCTCTCAGCAAACTGACACAGACAACCCGTTACCACCTAGTATTCAATTTAATAACATCATGTGGGAAAATTCCTTTAATTTCCTGTAGCAAATAGCCACATTTTGTACCATAGTAAAGAGGACCTCACATGATTTCATTTCATTTTATACACTTCCAATATCATATCAAATGTTCTAACAAACGGCTCCAACACAAAATCTGTAAGAACTGTGCTTCATTTAAATTGAACCACAACTCCCAGATCTGATGCATGTATTAGTATATAAACTGCTGTTGATGGACATAAATTAAACCTCAACAGACCCCTAAATCTTATCATCAGTGACAAAGGAAGACAGATGTCTTAACAATGAAACTTTTAAGTCCTGAATTTACAACCCAAGGGGTTTTAAAGTTCACAAAGAATTGATTTTTGTTCTATGCATCAACACATCTAGCAGTGGCTTGCATTAGAGCTTAATCAAAATGTCAAAGAAATGTCTTCCCATATGCATTCATTTACACTGTGTAGGTCTACAATTATATGCTTTTTATGAAGCAGACGTGGAATATATTAATTTGGAGGTCTACATGGGCTAATCAATACGACTCTCTCTGTCTATGGAGAATATAAAACATTCAGCACTGAGGACAGGAGTGATAAAATTTATGATATGGTGATTGACACCACTAAGTACATATCATATTCTTGCTTGAACAAATCAGCAGAAATGTTGAGCTAAAAAGACTTTTATCACATATTTCGCTCTGACAAAAAAATACAGCCAACCTTCACTACAAGATGTGCTTCAGGACTCAAAGGCCTTATTTGTTTCTCTTCAATGCTACGCACCATATTGCATGTAAAGTAACATAAAATGAATAGTTCATTGAAAGTGATTAAATAACAATTATGCGAATGATTCACCACAAGACATCCATCATCATTGGCCATTATCTTTATGCTCAGGCTATCGATTTGTGTCTGCACAGGGTTCTCAATATATACTTCCCCTTTTAAAATCAAAAGCGGATCAAGTTTGAGAATTTTGGCATGTCCTAATATACTGGCAAATAATTGATAAGTGATTTTATTTGAACATTTGTAATTAGGCATTTTTTGCATAGCCCACCCTATGCATTATCAGTATATTTTCAGCTACTCTAGATATATATGTAAAAACAAAACAAGTATTCAGGCAAGGTCAGCTCATGACTCCTATCCTCAACAGCAGCTTACATGAACTGATTTCTGGCATAAGTACCGCATAACCAAACTATTTCGAACAATAAAAATACTTACTATCTTCCACATTTTCTGTAGTTCCATCAGGATTTGTTTTGAAATGCAATAGTTCTGATGACATGGGTGACAACATGTCCACATCTGAAGGTGTCAGTGCAGCTCCAGAGTCTTCCCCTTCCTAAAATAATAGAAAAAAATATTATTTATCATAATTGTACCATTTCTTATCACAATCTCTTAAATATGAAAATATCTAGCAGAAATTTATATGTATATACTGCAAATGTATATTTATACATTTAATTTACATTAAAATACAAATGCTGTCAAGAAAAATCAGTCTTATAGTGCTTCAAGTTAATATTTTTATAAAAATGTTAATACCTAAACTTATTTCGTCTTTACATGGTGGATATTTTAATTGCAGAGGTATTACCTAAACAATCAATCAGTGTGGTAATACACCTCCATTAAACAACTCTCCATTTAGCAACTATTAGCTGGGAAATAATATTGAACTTCGTGTGGGACTCAGCTAACACTGTACATAAAATGCCATTGGTTCTAGAATATGGATATGTCAGGTTGACTAATGCAAGATAATTTATTAAACAATTTACACTTGTACCTTGTCTTTTTATTTAGCTGCTTTCCATGTAATTATTATCCATATAACCATCTATATTAAGAGTAAAATGTTTACTTATAGGGTCCTTGGCAAAATACATTATAAAATATAATCTCATTGAGAAAGCAAACATATTTTAACTAAAAGTTAATTGCCTGCTAGGCTTGGGTTGGGTCATATTGAGATAATGAACATAACATATTAATTCATCTTTGATAAAGCTTCATGAATTTTTCAGTGGGTTAGCTTTTTCTTTGTGTCAGAGTTCATTGTGGAAAATTGCATAAGGTATTCAAGCCACCCACTGAAGTTTAAGATAGTAAAGTGATTCTGAACCTGTAGCTATTTACAAAGCTTAACTGAGGTGTTTGATCAATGGAAAAGGTCATTGATTTTTTATGTAAGAAAAAAATGGCCACTAAAGGACATGGAATGGGTCATCTAAGCATAGATGCTGTTCTCATTTCTATTATTTCCCCTGAACATATATAAACACATCACTAATTACACCTAAAAAATTGGATAAAAAAGTGTACAATCTGTGCATTTACATGTAAACTACACTAACAGTTCATTTTGATTCAATGATTACAGGGTGTTTCAATCAATGCAAAAATCATCTGTTCAAATAAGCTTCTGTCATGAAATTTGTTTCCAAGAAGATTAAAAACCTACAGATAAACAAGCAGAAAGAGATTAATATCTGGATATATTTAATATCTCTACCTTACACCCGAGAGCCAACTAAAGTGATTCTCTAGCAATTTCTTAGAATATAATTGGGAAAATCAATACAATTGACTCAGGCAAGGGAAAATGTGAAACAGACAACAGATTTGATATTTTTAAATACTAGATACAACAGTTGTTCACACCATGGTTAAGTAATGCTTAATTCTTTTAAAAGAATACATTGCAACTTTAGTAAAGACTTTGAGAAAATTTCTAAACTGACAGTATTGACTGTATAAGGATTTAAATGATAGAATGCAGACATTGTCTTATTGAGCTCAAAGCTATAAAGTGAAACAGCGAATCACTGCAGTGCATCCACTGGGAATCTACTCACTCGTAACAAGATAAAACATTGATGGTCGAATATCCTGCTCTTAGAATGATCATACAACAGCTTCCAAAACTAACAGATGTGGTTATATTCCCAAACATACTGGTGAAGTTATAGTGAATCAAATATCAAAAGCCATGGTAGGCTGTAAACCATAGAGAAGATTGATCAAGGACATTATACCAGTATTCCCTTTAACCATGACAAAATTAAAAATGCATTTAGATTTTAAGTCAAATCCACGAAACCCAACCAAAAGCCACCATAAAATTTCAAATAGTATAACTTAATTTCCCAAAAAATGATATTTGAACAGACATTTTCTGCTTTCTTTCTGTGCTTTAAATATCCCTAAGCAGTCTCTTTTGAATAAGTGTACAATTGCATGCTCAGCTATACATCCATACATGGGAGTGAGAGTGATGATAATGCAATGCGGAAGCAGTACTATAACATTTAGTGGACTTTAACAAACTGGAGGGACAGATACATGTTTATTTCAACCAACAATTTGTAGATGGTGTGGTCTAAAAGCTACTTTTGGCTGAACAGGCCCCCGTTTCACAAAAAAACTTCATTCGGTTTACCTGACTAAGAGCTTGGTTACCAACGTAATTAAGTCGTTACGTCACTAAGTCCCGTTTCACAAAGAATCTAAAAGGTCGCTTACGTCGTTTTTTTCTTAGCTGCTAGTCGACGATGTCTAGCCTCCTCGGGAGGAGACTTAAGTCGGCAAGCTCAACTAAAACTCGGTAAATGAGAGCATAAACAACAAAAATTTGGAAAGAACATACCTCCTTCAAGATATTGTGTTATAATATCCTTGAATAGCACTGATATTTATGGAATATTGAAATAAAAAATAAAATGCCACTTTACCCTGCCGATCGCATTTGTTTTTGTCTTTGACCGCTAGACGTCCGTCAGCAGTGTTCCACGACAAGCTAATGTTTAACTGTTACTTTGAAGTTGTATTGAAGTTAAACTAATCAATATAGTTCAAAAACAAACTTTGTTTGTGTTTTGGCTGACTTTTATTGCTGATAAACGATCGTTCTCGGCCGAAAGAGGCCATGAAACGTCATGTCTTGTGAAACTTTTGAAATTTTACACCTCCTTTTCTTGAAGAGTTTCTCGTGCGTGTCGACTATGGTAAGCACGCCAAGCTAAGACGTTAGATTCTTTGTGAAACACTCTTAGTCGACTGCAGCGTAGTCGACCTAGCTAGGTCACCTAGCTCGAGCTAGTCGACTAGGGATTTAAGATTTTTTGTGAAATGGGGGCCAGGGGATTAATTTGGTTTATGACTTGGCATGTTGACTTTATTTAAGTCAGATAAGTAACTAGAAGAAGTGGTTTATAAATCTATGCTCACTTAATATGAAACTTTAACTGTAAGTAGTATAAGATCACACATAGGTGCTCATAATGGGCATGTCAAATAATTCTATTTGGGCTGAACAAATTTTTAAAAATGATTTAAAGAAGCACTGGAGTAAATATTTTATCATAAGTTAATGGTATTGAAGATTAAGAAAAAAAGCATTAAAAAACACGACAAAAGATATTATAATAAGGACATGAACACCAATTTATCACTGCCTTTGACCTGAAGATATCTCTCTTCATCTTTATTCCTGGAGAAAACATTTGAATGCAGAGGAGAGACAAATTAGATTGATATGTGTTACAGTCTATCCCCAATGAGGTTAATAGCAACTGTCAAATGCATAGTGACTAAAACAGAAATCCAAAAACCAATCTGAAACTACAGTGTTATCTCAGTCTTCAATGGAAAAATAGGGAAGACAGCTCTAAATCAGTTTAAGGTTCAACAAATCTAATCAATGGCAAGACAATCACTATCCTTGAATAGTCTAAGACACAGCCTTCAAGACAAACTGCCAATCAGTTATTGGATGCCAGTTCTACTAAAACAAATTAGTTGCTTTTAATTGTGTTTAAGAGTATGCTTTAAATGTCACTTTCCATAATAATGTATTGTCAACATTTGTATGTCACTGGGTAAAGTTCTTCTCTTGGGGATGTTAATAAGTCTAATCCATCATAAATGCAAATTCACATCTTAAACAAAAATAATTAATGTAATATTGAGCAATTAAGTTTTCCAAGTTCCAACAAAAATTGTCAACTCTCTTTCACCATAGATAATACTGACAATAATAATAATAATAATAATAATAATAATAATAATAATAACAGTACCAATCTATTTCAATAAACTGTGCATTTAGTTTTAATGAAATATATAATCTTTACACCAGACAAGGTAGTCCAATTGCTCCATGTTATCCCCATCAAAAGTCATCTCATTGAAAACTGTGCCTAGGATTTATTTTTCAAAACCTCTTGTAAACTAATATTTCAATGTCAATTCTCATGACAGTTCAACTGACATCTGTAACTCACAACTATATAATTTTATGATCCTTATCGGGGTCAGTTTTGCTCTTACAGCACCAATAACACGGAAAGTTAGAAAGACTGGGAATTCATAGTGTAACTTACCAACATCATGTCCTCTATTTCCTTGATCACTTCAGCTGCAGTGAACATTGGCTCCTGTTGGAGACTGGAGACAATGAGGGAATGCAAGTCAAAGTCATGTTGTAACTCTTCATCTTCTGAGAGATCCAAGTCAGGAGAGTCACAGTCCTAAAATCAGAGATAACAGTTCCACAGAAGTCTGCCTGTGAGGTTACTTTTATTGGAGGCCAGTATACCCCTCATCCCTACACACTTGTAAAGACAGAAAGAGTTACTGAGACTAAAAAGTAATTATTATTGACCAAAGAGAAGGGAATTCATCAGGTATGATAAAGAAACGAATTATAATATCATAGAAAGTTTTTTTTATCTGTCAAATCTGATCTTGGAAAAAGATGTTTTAATCATATATTTACAGCCTATACCTATCAAAGAGTATACCAATTAATACAGACTGAAAGGAATATCTGAATATGATATCAATACATGAATTTTTACACAGACATTAATCTGGTTAAAATAATCCAAATTCTATTGCATCATATCATTTGTCTATTTATGCCAAACATACATATCCCCTTAAACCATAAGTCAGTACTATTATGATTCAAGATTGTACCCTTTTTTCATCCAGTTTTAAAGCCTTGGTGTGCAGCTGCCGTGTGTATGTTTTGGACCAATCAATTGGTAGAATGTTCCCAAAATTTCCTGTGATGGTCCACCACATTCTGTAAAAAGAAATATAACAAAAAAATTAATACTAATCATAAAAAATAACACATACCCCTTATGTTTTCCATCCTCTCTTGATTACACTATTTCCATTGTTTAATTACCTAAAAGTTACGAAGTAAAAAATAGTTCTCATTAGGCCTACATAATATCTCTTCTATGATACAACAACTTAGCATGTTCATAAAAAAATACATTATAGTAATATGTCATTTACCGTTGGGGATGTAATGGGAAAAACATACGGCAGAATTTAACATAATTTCTAGGCAATTTTCCATGGATCATTTAATTACAAGACAATTTTCAAATGTAAGTTAAGACCAATTTTAATTATGTCATATGTAAATTATTATGACCGTATTTGGTTATCGAGTTCCACATTTAATTTCAATCTTTACCATCTCATACAGTAGTTAAAACCAGAGGTCAATCTAGAGCTTGCATTTGCCTAAAGAGATCGCAAGTAAATAGGCAAAAATGGACTAACTCAAAAAGTTAAGCACTTTATTGTCAATCATCAATACACTGAAAAAGTCAGCAGGAGAATACTCTGTAAACACAGAAATTTGATAAAAGCTTCACTACATCAGCAGGAGGGAGTGGTTTGATCTATACAGTGCTACCACTACAGATCAATACTGATGTTCTGCTTAAAGCTGGCATCACTATGCATATAAGAACTCCCACTGTAGAAATCAATAATACATATAGGAGCATGCCTTTTAGATATTAGAACACTTCAACTGTTTTGTTAACAAACAATTACTGGTTAAATTGACAGTCAACCCAAAGCCATGTCATGGAAAATGCATTTGTAACAGTGAATTCCACAAGAGAGAAATAACTGTTTGCTTCATGTGTGCAAAAAATTATTTTAGCATTGATCTTATCTGTATTGCAGAAAGGTTCTGTTTAGTGCAAAAATTACACTTACTTCATCATACACAGTCTAAAGTTCAGCAGTCTTTTTGCCATGGTGGCCTGCCAGATATATCATTATGTAAATCAGATGACTAATTCCCAAGTGTTATGAAAATTGCAGGCAGCAGTGCAAAGACCACCTTTTTTAAACAAATGAATTAAGAAATATCAAAGCTGATAGAAGATAAACTGCACTTGGAATGCAACCAATAGTCTTAAATATGTTTTTGTTTTGTAATGAAGATTTATAATTATAATATATTCCCATCTACGAAATGCTATTATACTGCAATATGGCAAAAAGAGATAGATTGACCTGAACATAGAGAAAGATGGTATTGTTTTGCAGCAATTCCTTGGAGAGTTCATTCCTTGGAACTCCTTCCTAAGCCTAAAATGTATTTATGCCTTAACCAAACTGCATGTTCTCAACAAAATAAGTCAATATATTAAGTAATCATGAAGTAATAAAAAAAAAAGATTAAGGTGTCCTTTCCATCACCTATGCATACTGTGTTGAATTAATTCACAAAATTAACATTTATAAAATAATAAAACCCATGTACACACACTTGTAAAAAATATAATTTTACATCATTTTAATTTGACATTTTATAATTGTAAAAAGTATAAATTTATTATTATTGCAATTGTAATAATAATATTACATCTCATTAATACTATTTTGAATGTGGTGTCAAATTGTCTTTTCTGTACGATAATACCACGAATGCTTCAAACGATTGTCTTTCACAAATTATACTGTAATTTTTTAGACGATAGAAATGTGAACATTTATATGCTCGTATTCTGGTTTCCTTTACATTCAGTTCTGTATATATATATATATGAACATGTACATTTTCCATGTATTTACCAAGTATAGTACATATTTTCCATTGGCATTACCATATGCACTGTATATCAACCAAAAGTCTTTCATATCAGCACATTTTTCAGAGGCTGTTTTGGAAGACACAGTCTGTGCCCAATACTTTTCATCTTACAGGCCATCCGGGCCACCAGGGTCTGAAAATCTACTGGCCCTAACCAAACTTCACTGGTCAAAATCCAATTAAAAAAAAAAAAGAAAACTTCAATTACCAGGCTTCCTGTTACAAATAAGAACAAAAACATGGGATTTTCATAAGTTTATTTTGAAAAAGACTACAGCATTTAGCCTGAATGTTCAAAAAACAAATTGGAGTAGATCTACATGTTACAGCCGAAAAAAAGCTTCTGTCGGTACTGGCCCAGTCAAGACGAAGTAACTGACCGTTTTTCTGAATTTCACGGGTCCGGTCCGATTTTTACTGGCACTGGCAGTCGGGTCAATGGTTAACGTCGCAGACTGGTGACATTTTACAACTGAATCGTCCTTGAATCGATTGACATTTTCTTAAAATTAAGGTGAAGTAAGACGGTGATAGAGAGAAAGACAACAGTGAAATCAGTGGATAAATCAAGAGTGAGCAAAGCTTGACCTATATACTTACTGACAATCATTCATTATTTCTTCTTGGCTTCGAATCTGTACTGGGGCGAATTTTTCTACCTTCTCGTCATAATTTTTGAAACATTTGGTAATCTTTTCATCAAAAGAGTTCACCAGATCTTCTAAAGATCCTGATAAAGTTTCATTAAAATTGTCCACCGATTCTCGTTCTATCCGATTGTCCACACTTCCTGTTGTTTTATTTGAGTTTTCAAGATCTGAAGCGGTTTGAAAGTCATTGAATTCATTCCACTCGTCGCTTTCGAACTTTGCGAGTGGAGCTTCAAACTGCAGCTCCGCCATGTTTCCAATCGTCAGCTCTTCCCAATGAGGTCATCGGAATCATAAAGAACAAAGAAGCGAATACATTTAGACGAACATAAGGGAAACGAATGCATTTTAGACACGATGCCAATTTAACAATCCTGTCTTGAAATAGAATTCTATGACCAAGTTTTATGAATGCCACAAACACTTTTAAGAGCGTTGTTTCAACTGCTTGATTTGCATTGGTTTGTCAAGAAATGTTCACTTCATTTCGGTAGACTAAATTATTCATTTGATTTTCTAGTACGTACTTTCACTCACTTCCGGGAAAAACAAAGGGGCGCCTCCCACATCTACTGTACTCCGTATGTTCACGGTATTGCTCACAATTTCTGCTCTTATCCCAAATGCAAGGGTTATATAGTTACTTGTTTTAGTTTTTTTTTACTTTGACTTGTTCCTTAAAATATCTAATACAAAATTGGGCACTATTATTTGGCAGCAGGTAATTCATTTATCCGATGCCCAGAATTTTAAGCTTAATTTCCTGTTAGTTTATTAAAAAATAAAGGCTAAATGAATTCATTGGCATGGGATTTGGTCCATTCTTTTGGCTGTAATTTGTCACATTCAGGAACATTTTGAGAGAACAGTTTCATTAGCTCTGTATGTATCAATTCAAATTATTGTTTTTCTTTTTATCAAGAGCTTGTAAAATATGTGGGTATTACCTCCAATATTTCTGTGACTGTCAGTCACCATCATCAGGGAGTTAATGACTATGGTCATTTCACCTGGCAATGTGAGAGCAATGTGGGGTGACATATTCAGTCAAATGTGGAACCTGTCAAGGAGAATACATTGGCGAGACAGGAAGACCATTAGCCACAAGAATGAAAGAACACAAAGACTCAGTGGCCAAAAACAACTGGAAATCAGCCCTTGGAGAACATACCTGCAAACATCCAGGTCACCACATTGATTTTGACAGCCTGAAAGTGATAGACAGGGAAAACTGGACATTCCAAAGAAAAATAACAGAAGCTGTACACATGAGGACCAAACAACCAGACCCGAACAGATATGGGGGGGGTTTGATCTACCAGCTATCTACCTCACGGTGCTCCAGAGGGATGCAGAGGAGCCCCG